CCCCAAAACCCCAAAACCCCAAAACCCCTAATACAAATTGTGATATCAGTATTTGTGTTTAAAATTTTTAAATAAAGTAAGTTTAAATTAAGATTATGAATCTTTCGCTTGTTCAAGTTCAAACAATATTTCATCACACTTTAGGTTCTGCTGCATTTATTTATTCCTAATTACTAGTACTATCTTCTTTGGGGATAAAGCTTTCTACTTTGATAATGTGCTCTTGAACATCTAGTGTGGGACATTTTAATTTCAAATAGAATAAGCTATCCCATACTGTTCTTGCTTCCTCAGGAGTGAACTTTCTTGCTTCTTTTCTATCATTGAAGTATACGTATTAGAATACGAATTCATTCCAGAGAACAATATCCTCAACATATTGTTTATCTGCAAGTGCTCTAACTAATCTGCTATACTGATTTGCACTGAACTTATACATGTTTCTTTCAATCTTTAGAAGGAGATAGTCTCTGTATAATCTCTCACTTCCTAAATCACGCTTTACTAGCACTTCAAGTACTCTGATTTGATACTCTCTCCCAAGTATTTTCATTTGAATTGGAAGAATACCAGTAATTCTCTCAAAGAATTGATCATCAGTCTTTCTAATTAAGTGTGGCTCTCCCTCATCATCTAAAATGTCTCTATCATAAAGATCTAATAATATTGCTAGCTCTCTTCCATTAAACTTATGCAAGAGCTTCATTGAATTCTTAGCAGCAAGATTCCAAAGCTCTTGGTCGATAATTCTCAATTTTTGTAGAATCATTGCAGTTTAGATGATATTTCTGTATGTAAGCATAGACATTCTCTTCCTTAGACTTTTAAGACATTTTTGAGTGACTGGATGAATATTCCAATCATGCTCTTACAATTTATCTCTTCTCCCTAATTCTAATAAACCACTAATTAGCTCAGAATTTCTTAGATTCTCAACATTATCGAGATTCAGGATTATTTCATTACCTGACATCGTCTTAAAGTTAATGTAATCATGAAGAGGAATAGGTTGATTCATGATCTTTGCTGGTCTATTATTCTTTTTAATTATGAGATTTTGAGCACCTTTTGCAATTTTACCGAAATCAGTTGGATATTAGATTTTAACCCTGTCCTCATAAATTCTCATTTACTGATTTGAAGCGAAAAAGAATTGATTAAAGAGCATGAAGTTAGGCCTTGATTATTGAAGAAACACTGGAGCGAGAGGTCTGAACAATAATCTTGATTTTACTAAAGTGTTCATATTTAAGTATTATAATTATATTTTATAATCACTCATTCTTTTCAATTGCAGGGAACTGGCATTCAGGGGTTTTGGGGTTTTGGGGTTTTGGGG